GGGCAGGAATGTGGACGAATACGTAAGTTTTCCACTCTCTGTGGACTGTCTCAGGGGAGTTAGTGGTCTCTGTTCTTTTCTTCCTCCTCCTCAGGATGTTCCCCAGGGAAATGGGGGTGGCTGAAGGAAAAGAGGTATGAAAGACCTTGGCAAACTGGAGAAAAGCAGTCTGGGGCACATGCAAGCTTGGTTTGATCAGATTTTGAAAGAGGAACATCAGTTCCAGGCCTGTTTTAGAAAAGTAAACTTTTTAATTGTGTCTTTTTTTTCCTTCCTGCAAATATGTTATACTGGGAAATCTGTTGAGAAACTCACATCAGATAAGCAGTTTCCATTTGCTAACTTTTCTTTTTTTTTTTGAGAAAATGTGCAGCTACATTTATTGTTTCCAAAACAGATAAACCAACTTCACATTTGAAAATCTGTCATTAATTGTTAAAGTATAGTTTACATGGCTATCCTTTACAAGACTAGACTTATGGCCCTTAGACCTAGTTTTTGTTAGGTAACTTAGCTAAATATAACAGATCAATTATCATTTTGATCTTGTGTATTTATGTTGTAAAGCTGTTCTTTCCCTGTTGTACTTTTGCTGGAGTAAGAATAAGAAGGCTCTCTTGGGAATGGCTTTTGAAGGTGTTAAGGGAGGAGTAGCTGAGAGATTCATGTCGTGTTTGTCACAGAACCAAGAAGTGCCCTCTGTTGCCTAATCAAACATGTGCTTCTAAAATCAACAAGTCAGATATTTCATTCCTCAAGGCTTTCCACTCATAAAGGCAGAATAACTCCCAAACTCCTCAATTAGAAAATATAACAGATTTTATCAGGAAGGGTGGAGCTTCTAAGGCAAAATGTTGGAAAGTCAATGGAAATAACCAGGCACATGATGTCTAATGGGGAGTTTCAAAGACCTTAATCCCAGTAATAAAGATGATATTTACCAAATTACTGAGTAGAATGAATGGCTTTGGCCCCAAAGATTTTGTTACTAGGTTCACATGCCATAAAATCCAGTTGGAATAGCTCATGTAAACTATATAAAGGTGACTAGGACATAGGGGATAGGTATAAAAAGACACCCATGAAAGTTAAGAGCATAATCTCCAATTTTTCTTTAGTTAGTAGGTAATTATAAAAATTAGTAATAAAGGAAATAGGATTGAAATGGATCTAAGGTTCATCCTCCATCCAACCTTTCATTAAACTGTTGGTATGTCTTAACCTTCTAAGCTGAAAATGATGTATTTTTTTTCTTTCTTAGAAAGCCTCAAGACATATTCTGTGTTGTCGAACAGCTTCTGAGCACAGTCCCTAAAGTTAAAACAAATGTCTTGGCATAGAGATGAAGGGAGACCCTCGATGGGTAAGTTAATTTACACTGGGTTCTATTCAAATTTCTTCTCCAAAATCACATCCTCTCTTTTGTACCTTCTGATATATAAATGTATTTGTTTCTACTTGAGTCATAGAAAATGACAAAAGTCAGGCTTCAGTGCAGGTGAGATTTAAATAATCCTTTTTTTTTTTTTTTTAAGTCATAGAAGGTTGTAATCCTGAGCTTCTCTGAGAACAGAACAGAATATTTGACAGAATAGTGAGGAAGGAATCTATTTTAAACACTGAAGAGCAAACTCTGAATGTTTTTATACTACTGGGGAGTTGGTGATAAGCAAAATTTGAGGAGTTTGAGCAAAACCAGAGTTCTAACAAATGTCCTCAGGAACGAAAAAGTACAATTCTTGGCAATCAATACTTGGTTTACATTTGAGAAATTTTGAAAGCTCCTAATTATAAATACAGTAAAAATGAAAGAGGTTAAAGAATGTAACTTGAGAATTTGGAAAAAACCAAATTCCTTTGCCAGGAACACATCAGGCTAAATTGTTTGGTGAGTTACCATATTCTGTAATGTGTATTTCAGACATTTGAGGACATGGATCAGTGGTCTCAGACCATTAGGGCTGTAGTCAGGGAATTTTTCCTTCTAGAGATTGAATATCTAGAGAAAATACTTTTCTGAAAATGCTCAATATACACGGATAGAGAACTGGTCAACTCAGAACTAAATGCTGAGCTAAAAGACTGTATTTCTTCTTAGAAACAAATTCTCTAAGATGATGACTCAGAGATTAGTACTAAAGGGAAAATTTGGCCCATGTGCTTGTCTGAGATGTTAATCTCCATCATGGTCTAGTTTGATCTAATGAAGAAATAATCTGAAGCCATGAAACTGTATACTAGAGTCCCAGAGTCAATGGAACCCAAGATTAGAACCTACATTGCAGATACATAAAGGAACTCAAGATTTACACCAATAGCGAGAAAGTAGAAAATTAAGTGGCCAATTACCTATAAATCCATTACTATGATGCTTCGGGAAGAAAGTAGGTGATTCTCCTAGAAATATTGGCCAATATATTTTTATGATCAGATCATTCATATGGGGGTATGTTTTTTGTAATTGATGGGAGCCCAATTCAAATACGTAATTTTAGTTTTATTAGAAATACTGGATTTAAGAATACTTCAGAAGAGTACTTTAGTCCATTGATCAGAATGGGTTGCACAGAATTCATTTTTCAAAATGTTAACATTTACAACATGAAAAGAAGTGCGTCATGCTCAAATAGGCTGGAGAACCCCCAAGGCAAACAAATTAAACAGAATTCTTGTTTATAGGACTTTTCAGAGGATTTATTTGGCTCATAGATTTTGAACTTCCAGAAGGTGGTTACAGAATGCAGCATTTTTCTAATTTATTAGTCTACAGGACTTTTTTTTGGAAGATTGCTTATTAATATATTAAATAACTTTTCCCATGTATCAGAGTATGGACATCCCTGAGAGAGTGTAATCTCTCTTCTTCCAATGGGATAACAACTAAATTTTTTAAAACTAAATCTTTTCATGGTGGATTAACTATTTCCAATTTCATTTGACTAAGCTATTTTTGGTCGATTTTATTTTGACAGAAAATAGCAGTTAAATTACAAAACCCTTTTATCAATTGCTCAATGTTTCTTTTTTGTTGTTGGAGAATTAGTTAAGTACTTACTCCATATGATGTTGCAAAATTAAGATAAAGTATTTTCTATTAACTTTTGGAAGACTATTTTTTCACTTTTTTTTTTTTTGTTTTAATTTGAAACTCATTCCTTTTACACACAAGTTGGAATTTTGATAGAATTTACAGCACATCTTGATTTGTATTGTTAGATATAAAGTAATTGCCACAAATGGGAAATGAATTTCTAAAAGATGTGTGATATACATCAGGAAAGTCAATTGAAAGATGACCCAAATAGGCAATTCTTCAATTTTCCTCATTTCATTTTCTACCATTTGTTAATGGAGAAATAGGTTTAACCATGCTGCTATCTAATTGGCAGAACAATTTCTGGACTTGTCACTTTTTTATTGGGGCAATTTAATTTTATTGAAGTCGCTCAAAATTTTAAATATTAAAACAAATGCTAACTTTTTGAAAGTCAAACTTCTAATCTGATGTGTCAAGAAACAAACTCCTTCTAGCCCAGCTTACATGCTATGTGAAAGGGGGCTCATTTTCAGGTCCCTCTCAAAATGTGCAAAGTATAGAAATTTCCTATCTGTTCTATACTGATTAAACAGATCACATTTCATGAATATAGTCTATATTCAATGCTTTTTTCATATCATACGAATGTATATGCTTTGGAAACCATTCATTCAAAATTTAGCCAAATGGAATCATGTCTCATTTCTCATTTGAACTAGATCACTGGTGGCAATGGCATGCCCACCCCGCCACCCTTTTAAACTATAATGTTTTAACTTTGAGTAACGATCATTAATACAAATCAAATTGGGCAAATATCCTTGGATTAGAGGAGTAAAAGTGTCAGCACAGTTTAACAAAATTTAGGGGTATTATCTTAGTTTTTTTCTCATTAGAGAAAATAAATTGGTAAGTGTTTTTTAACCCACCTTGTTTCTCCTCACCTCTTTAAAAATAAGACAGATTCCTCTTGGTCTATGCAGAATAATTTTCCAAATAAAAGCCAATTATCTGCTTGGTAAGGAAGCAGAGCGAAACCCTGAAGTTGCTGTGAATTCAAGGTAATGCTCTGTGTACAGTATCTGAATGGACAACATCAGAGTAGCTAGACATTTCCTTCGGCAGCAATCCAGCCTACAGGCAGCTATCATGTTTTAAACAGATTCTTAGTTGCACTAATATTGTGTTAGGCATGGATCACCCTGGTTTTTGTTGGCATCTGAGAAGAACTTACCCAGAGCGCTTTTGAACATCTGAATTCCTGATCTTAGCTATGAGGTGAATATTACCCTATGACTATATGTAACAATTATATCCTCTACCATTTTCTGTTAACCCACGAGTACCAACTGATGAAAGTAAAATCAAGTTGTTGTAAAATGGATCATTTTCATTCTTAACACCTACCTTGCATTTTACAGATAGTGGCGTACCACCTTCTGGAGAAACCAAGGGCTTTGTTACAGTAAACTGGTCCAATGTGATATCACAAGTATAAAAAATATTCCATTCTGTATCAAAACTAGGCACATGCCTTTATTTATAGTAACAGAAGTTAACAGAGTTGAGCAGTTTTGCCTTGGGTCCTGTTTCTTGGCATCCTACATCAGATAAATGCGTCTTTCAACATATCTCTGCCCACAACTCCGGGGATCTAGTCAGGGTTATTTGTATGTAAAGGAAGGCGAAATCACACTTGGATTTATGATGGTGAGTAACTAAAAGCACAACCTCTCATTCATATTGCTTTAAAACATATACAGCATATATGTTTCAAAAAAGAGTAAAGAATATATTGATTTCCTTGTTGTGTTGAACCAACAATCTGATATGATGCAAGGATTTAACAAATGATAATTATAGATACAAATTTTTCTGTAGAGTATGTTTTAGACAAATGTGTCTTTTTAACAAGTAAATCCTACATTGTAGGTTGTTCCTTTTAACTTTTTTCTTTTGTTTCTGCAGTGGTAGAAAATGTTGAATAACTGTCCATGAGCATGAGCCAAAGGTTCAGGTTCATTACTGAGATCCCCAGAATGCCAATATTTGCAATGCAAACAATTAGAATCCCACTGTGTGAAGGGCTTTGACACATGCCTGCCTGCCTTTAGATGGAGAGTCTCCATACGAAGTCCTCCTGCTTCCATGGACCTTGCTTTGACACAGGAGCAGCTACACTAAGCTGCCTTTTTAACCTAGTAATTTGCTGTGCCAGGCTGTCCTACTGGATACCGACAGTGACACAGAAATGATCGTGTAAGTGGTAGACCCTCAAATCATTTTCATGTTGAACCTCCTGGGTCCAGCCACCTCCCCTTCCACAACAGCACCATTGTTTTTTCTGGGCACATACTCAAGGTCAATGCTGTTTTTGTGCTTGCCTTTCCCTCTGCTCCACACAAAAAGGAGGAGAAAACAAAATAAAACCACTCCTAGGAATGTGAAACAGCCCATGGCTGTAGACACCAATATTGTTTTAAGGTCCAGAGAAAATGTATTGGCATTGGTGCCATTAGAAATGGTGTCATTGGAGTCGGTCATGTACATAGGGGTCCTGTTCGCATAAAGGAAGCGGTCTGAAGTGAATCCTTTCACAGTTAAGGAGGCTGTGAAGGTGTCATTCCCAGCAGCATTGCTAGCAATGCAAACGTACATCCCGCTGTCTTGATCTTGGGCAAAGCGGATTTCCAGGGTGCCATCGCCCAACACAGTGGCTCTTCCGTTGGACTTGGTGGTGATAAAACGCCTCCGAGGTGTCACCCAGGAAATCACAGGCTGAGGGTCACCGTCAGCACTGCATTCTAGCTGGACCGTCTGCCCTTCATCCACTAACAGATGCTGCAACTTCTTTTCACGGATTTTGGGTTTTTTGCAGGTAAAGTAAAAAGAAAGGGCAGTGCTATGGAAATCCTTGAATGACCTCTCACGAATAGTATCTGGGCCAGCACACATGGGCTGCTGGCCGCCAAATTGCAGAGTGGGATGCCGCTGCAGGATCCAAAGGAGACGGCAGTCACAGGCCAGTGGATTGTTATTAATGCTCAGGACCTCCAAAGCCCTAGGGGAGGAGAAGACGTTCTCTTCCAAAGTTTCTAGTAGGTTCTGAGACACATTGAGCACACGAAGGAAGCGGAGCCCTTGGAAGGAGTGAGGCTCAATGGTACGGAGCTGGGCCCCCACTATATGAAGCTCCTGAAGGCGGATCAGGTCAGAGAACATCCCTGCTTCAATAGTGCTGATGGGATTGTAGGAGAGGTTAAGGTGGGTCAGATATACCAGATGTTTAAAGGCAAGAAAGGGTACAGTGGACAGGTTGGTATTGGTGATCGAGAGAGATGTGAGGTTGAGACCATAGAGGCTATTGGCAGGGATCATATCCAGTAAAGGCCAATAGTCAATCTCTAGATGTTTCAGGTGGAACAATCTTTTAAAGGCATACACGGGCATACTGTTGATATTGAGATGCTTCAGATGCAGGCTGATGAGGCTGCGGAGGTGGGAGAGGGCTTCTGTTGGTACTGCTGTTAGGTTGCATTTCTCCAGGGTGAGCTGCTCCAAGCTAAGCAGCCCACTGAAGGCCCTGTGTGATATATAAACCAAGTCATTGTCCCCCACTTCTAGAGACTTCAGGTTATGCAAATCCTGGAACATGTAGTCCAGTAAGATGACAATCTTATTCTCACTAATGTCAAGCTTGGTGAGGTTGGACAGCCCCGTGAATACCCCTAAAGGGACCAACTTTAGGCGATTGCCTTTTAGGCGGAGGGAACGCAGGTTAAAGAGGTTGTTAAATGCTCCTGGTTCCACATTGGCAATGATGTTGTCACTCAAGTCTATCTCCTCTAGTAGAGGATATGATATGAATTCTTCAGGGTTGATGCCTTTCAGTCTGTTCTTGCTGAGGTCCAAGATTTTGGTCTCGATGGGAATGCCCTCTGGAATGGCGATCAACCGCCTTCTGTGGCAGCTAACAGATTTGTTCTGGGCAGAGCACTCGCAGCGAGCAGGGCAGCCAATGGTGGACCCCATGAAGATTAACACCACAGCCAGACCCAGGAATGGCTGCCAACATGATATGGCCGTATGAAGCATGACTCCACCTCTTAGTCTACACCTTGGTCAAGGGCCTGCAGGAGGAGGGGCAAAAGAGGGAGGAAGAGAAATCGAGTTAGGTCATGGAGAAGTAAAGGGACATAAATAAGGCAGCAAGTACAATGGAAAGGACTCTGGATTTGTCATCATACAGATCTGGACTTAAACCTGAGAGTTGCCATTATTGCTACACGATTTTGGATAAGTTACTTTATCACCCTGCACTTGAGTTTTTTTTGGCTATAAAATGGTGATAATGGGGATGATAATTATAGCTTCCTAGAGTTACAACAATTGCAGTATTTGACAGCTCTAAAGAAACTAATGCAGTGTCCGTCACAGACTGTGAGGCAAAGCAGGGTACATTTCACGAAAGGCTGTATTTTGAACTCAAATGACAAAAGTAGAGGTCAGTGACTAAGATGAAACCTATCCAGTTTGAATCAGTTTCTGCATCTCTAATGTTTGAGAGATCATCCTGTGTTCAAAATGATGCTAATATAAGCTCCATTCGACATCAGGCCCTTAGGTTCAAAGGACAAATCACAGTTCTGTTTCATGTAAGAGGTTGAGACTTTTTTCTTACATATATAATTTTTTTTTTTTTGTATTTAAAAAAACCTTCGAAGGCATACCTCTTTTAGAATTCAGGAAATTTTGATTTATGAAATAATTTTTTTGAGGTAAACAAAAAGATCCTCAAAATCTCCCTGTATTCTGTGTGTTTAACACAGGGATGAGGCCAAATCAAGGCACCAAAATAGCTATGACAATGAAAATGCTTTAAGTTTTTAGGTTAAATATTGAAGAATGGGAAGAATCATAATATTAAAGAAACATGTTTTTAAATAATAAATGAACTTTCATTCTTTTGGATGCAAATTCAAACCCAGTGAACCTGTTAACTGAAATTAAATAGGTATTGAATGAGATCAGATATGAGTATTTTTAAAATGTATATAGTTAAGCAGACATGAAGTTACTGCTCAACTGATTAACAAGAGGTGTGCTCTTGAGCTGTGCTTCTCAATCTGAGATCCCCAGGGGTACACACCCAAACACCATATTTTATGCGAGGTAAGATTAAAACAATATTTTTAGGTAACAAAGTGTTTGATAAACTTCAGTGTTCACTTCTGAATTGTAAAAGAACAATTAATAAGAGTACAATTCTCCAGTCATGGCGTTTACATATATCTCTATGTCTATATGGATAGCTATTCTGCCTCTAAACAAATCTACCTTAAAAGAACAAATAAACAAACAAACTAGGATCAACCTTAATGGTGAATAACTAGAAAAAATGCTCCCAGAATATAGAAGCAAGGCAAAGACACAGAAAGCGCTAGCAAAATCAATTATATAGCAACATAAAAGTTATAATTATTGGAAAAGATGTGGTAAAACTATTATTGTTTATAGATCAAATTAAGATCTGTCTTAAAAATCAAAGGAAATCAACTGAAAATTTTTAGAATAGGAGAATAAGTAAATTAACATGTTATAAAATATAAATTTTTTTTGTCATATGTATAAAACAGAAAATATTATTGTAAAAAATGATGTCACATCTCTGAAAAGAAATCAAATTCCTTAGAATAAACTTAGCAAGAAATATGTAGAATAAGACAAAATTTACCAAAAAGAGAGATATATTATGTATTTTATTAGAAAGATTTGATATTATATAGAGAATTTTTTTCTCAATAAGTACATATATTACATATAGTTTTGGATCTGAAAAATCCTAAAGTTTATTTGAAAGAATATAAATATGAGAATAATCTGAAACATTAAAAATAGTAAGGAAAACAAACTTGCCCTACAAGATATTTAAATGTAAGTTGTAACACTATAATTTGAAACAGCATGATACTGACACAAAAATATACAGTCAGGGAAAAGGATAAGGAATTATATCTAAGTGTATTTTAAAAGTCTGTATGTGTAAAAGCTGGCATTTTAATTCAGTGAGAAAAATATAAATGATTGGCTTATAACTGGATAGATACTTAGTGAGAAAAGTTGCACATCAATTTCCTTTGTTCCAATAAAATTAAATTTCAAGTGAATTAAGAATTAAAATTCAAGAAAAAAAGGTACTAGAAGAAAATTAAAAAATTTTATAATAGAGTTAAAATGCATTTTCTATGGCTAAAGCTGGAAATCATAAAAGAAAACCATTTATTCAATTTTATGCATTTAAAAATAATAGTGTAAATAAATAGCACAGACCCTCACACAAAGGCAATTGTTAAACTGAAGAATATATTTTAGACTGATATAAGGGATTAAAGATAATATTAAACAGCTCTTACTAATCAATAAGAAAAATAGGTAAAAATAATAAAAACTAAAAGCAGCTAATAAATGAAAAGATCATCAGCTTCACTAGTAAGCAAAGAAATGCAAATGAAACAATATGGGTATATCAGTTTTGCCTGTCAGATTGAGAGTTCAATAATTATTTTTACCCAGAATTAACAAGGGCAGAAGAAACTGATGGAAGAAACAAACTGGTACAACCTTCAGGAAGTTAATATATTAAATTTAAATCTACATGTTAAATAGCAACATGTTTATCTCTTTGAATCATTTTTTTATTTTTATTTTTTAAAACCATTTTATTGAGGTATGATTGACATACAAAAAGCTATGCATATTCAATGTATACAACTTGAATTTGTAGATATGTATACATCTGTAAAATCAATACAAGCTATGCTATAAATACATCTACCACCTCCAAAAGCAGGTACATCTTATGATTCTTTTTTTCCCCCTTGAAATGTATCTTAAGGAAACAATTTAATATACATAGATGTTTGGTTCAGGTTCATCTGGGTTTAGTTTGCTCTTTTATTTTTTTTTATCTTCCTAAGGTAAAACCTTAGATCATTGATTTTAGATCTTTCTTCTCTAATATAAACTTCTAAAACTGTAAATATCCCCCAAGCATTGCTTAACTATATTTCACAAATTTTAATATATATTTTAAAAGTTATTCTAGTCAAGACATTTTTCTAATTTGTGCTTCCTTTTTTGAATCATGGATGGTTTGGGTTTGACTTACCTTATTTCTAAGTATTTAGGTCTTTTCTAAAGTCTTATTGTTTATTTCTAATTTAATTCTGTTGTGGTCAGAGAACATACTCTGCAAAATTTCAGTCTTTTGAAATCTACTGAGATTGTTTTATGGACCAGCATGTAATCAATCTTGATGACTATTCGTGTGCACTTGAAATAGATGTGTATGTGCTGTTTTGGAGTGTAATGGTCTATAAAAGTCATTAAGGTTAATATGGTTGTGTTGTTCAGATTTTCCAAATCCTTATTAATTTTTTCAAAGCTATTCTATCGATTATCAAGAGATATCTGTTAAAATCTCTAGCTATGGATGTAAATTTGTCTATATTTTCCTAAGTGATGTAGGTCTTTGTTTCATATTTTGAAGCTCTAACAGTAAGCACATGTTCAATTTCTTTTACCATTAGAAAGAGTCCATCTTTGTCTCTAGTAATACTCTTTGACTTCAGGTCATTTTCAATGATTAATACAGTCACTCTAGCTTTCTTAAGCTTAATGTTTTCATGGTATAACTTTTTTCATTTTTTTACTTTCAACATGTTTGTCTCTTTGTAGTTAAAGAGTTATAAACAGTATGTGCCCAGATCTTGCTTTTGAATCAGTCTGATGATCTCTGCAATCTTTGCTTTTTGTGAGATTGCTTTGCCCATTTAAACCAAATATAATTACTAATATAGTTACATCTGGATATGCCATTTTTCTTTGTTGTCTATTGCTCAAATTTTTTGTTCCTTTCTTGTCTTATCCTGTTTTAATCAATTGGTTTTTAGTATTGCATTTCAATTCCTCTTTTGATTTTCTATATATATTTATTTGCATTATTTTTTATTTGTTGCTCTAGGGATTACGGTGTACATCTTTATCACAGTCTACTTAGAGTTATTATCAAATTGTTTCAGGTAAAATATATAGTAGCCTTGTAACAGTATATTTCTATTTACCACATGACCCCAGTCTCTGTGGAGAGAGATATAGTGTGTTCTAGGCAAAGAGAACAGTGTATGCAAAGACATGGAAATTATGGAGAACACTCTGTGATGGGGGAATTAAAGTAGTCCGCATAGTTGGAGCAAAAACAGGAGAGAAATGGAGAGAATAGAGGCTAAAGAGATAATTAGGGGAATGATCTACAAGGGATTTGTAAATTGTGATAAGCTGTTTGCACTTTGTCCTGAGGGCAAAGACAAGCCATTAAAATCTTTTACGCTAAAGAGTGATATAATCAGATTTACATTCGGGGAAGATTAATCTGACTACGGCATGAAAAATAGACTTGCAGGAGGGTGAAATGTGAAGCTAGAAACTCAGGAAGCTGTTGCTTTAATTCAAACCAGGAGAAGAGTGGTCTTGATCAGGGTTATAGGAGTAGGCTTGGGTAAATGGATAGATTCGAGAGGTATTTTGAAGCAGAATAGAAATGTTTTAGGTATGGATCGACTGTGAGTAGAGGAAGAGGCAAAGATGATTTCTACCCTTTTGTCAACTACATGGGATCTGCTGTCATTCGCTGAGATGACATGCTTAAGAACAGTAGCAAAATGAGGAGTTCCTGGTTTTCTCAAATATGTCCATCACTGGACCAAGAAGTGTGGGTTCCTTAGGTGGATTAATGGTTTTATACTCCCTGAAAATATTTTTCAAATACATTTTAGTATTTCTTTGGTAAGGCAGGGAAAATATATTTTCTATTACAATTATATGACTATGTCCAAGATAAAAGTTTTATTACATACTCTGTACTTCAGTTTATTTTAAGTTGATAGTAAAGAGTGAGATTTTTTAAAATAGATTCCCCTGCAGAGTATAGTCTTCGCTGGCCGTGTTTGTTCAATCTACATATTATAGACAAGGAGATAACTTGCATTCTATTTCTGATTTATTTCAGTAATGATTTAGGGAACATTTATTACTTAAATCCCTTAATCTGGCTTTGAGTGTATCTATCACA